TTTCAGTTCCTCAAGGTTAAAAGGAAAGGATCAGACTCTCTTTGTTATTTTCATGCAATGAGATGGTTTAATGCTATTTGGAAACAAATAGTTATTATTTATTCTAATAAATTATGTTTTCAAATTACATATACATTCTTTTCACTACAAATTACATGCAGTGAAAGTGCATGGAGTGTACATGAAAGAAACTAGAAATAAAAATTCTTATGAAATCGATCTCACAATTTCTAGGACCAAAAGAAAATATTTGCTGCGCTACGAGCACTCTAATATTTCTTAAACGTAAGTCGTAACATAGCAGTGCGTTATGTTGAAAGTGAAAGTTGAAGTTCGTATTTCGTGATTAGAAATACCATGATAAAAAGAATAAAATTTTAAAAAAATTGATCCAAGGGGAATCGAACCGTTCATCAAGCAACCGATGGAAATCAAACACACCTATCATTTAATTATATTTTATAGCAACCAAAGTACGTTTGAAACAATCGATGCACCTTGTAACTAGTACTCAAAAGGGAAGTAACCAAGTCGTTTGAAAAAATTTATGTACTATTGGCACAGGTGAGATAATTGCGTACTAAAAAAAAGATGAGATGGAAATTCGAAAAAAAAATAGTTATTTTATACCAGGAGCTCAGTGAATGACGGACTGCTAAGAAAAGCACATGCGATAGAAAAAGAAAGATTCCATCAAATACTCATATCAGAAGTCTACTTTTTAAGTATTACATGCTTGTATCTCAAGCGATGTAGTTTCCGAAATTGAAAGTTATTGTTTACATTCACTATTGTAAACAAGACTTTATTTAGAGTGAATAAAAAAAAAATTTCAGCAGAACCATGTTATTAATATTAAATATCTGAACAATCATACAACATGTTTTACTTAAGCCAAAGAAAATATCTTTTAAGCTACAAAAAGCCAAACAGGGTGCATTATTTTAGTCGATCGTAATGTAGGTAGGCTGTCGGTCACTCCATTATATCCTGTAAGTTTTACAGGAATTACTTTTGACTTTTCAAACGATATGAAGAACATAGAGTGTAGGGTAATTTACTTAAAAATGCTCAGCGGTTTTAAAAAACATAAAGTTGCTGTAAATTAAAAAAATACTGATACATCTTTATGATTTGCATATCAAGTACTTTCAAAAAGAACTCAGGTTATTCTAGTAGTAATCCAGAGGAAAGGCTTCATGAGAACTAAACAAAAATTTTCAAACAGATTTCACCTCATATGGGATGAAAAGCTTTTTGAGATGTATAATTTAAATTTTATGATAAGCAAAAAAATAATGAGGTTATCATTTTGAGGTTAAGTTAGATCTATGGCATAGTTAAGCAATTTTAGTTTTGGACTGTGATCTAGTACGCTGAATTTCAAAATGGAAAAAGGATATTTGAAAATGAAACTTCTACCTGAAACTAATTCATTTTTTGTGATCTAAGTTAAAACGCAACGTACAATATTTCTTATTGCTATGTAACTACGAGATCAGTCTAACTGTCACGAAAATAATAAATAAAACGTCGAAAACTATTTTTTGCGTTTGTAAAAAAAAAAAAGTGCATCTGACGAAAAAGAGAGATCTAGTCTGTAAATTTCGCACCTAAAGTACGAATCGAATAAGTTTCAATAAGCTTAGTTAATCAAGCTATTTTCCTGTAAATAGTCCAAACCCAATAAATCCCTATTGTATGGTCATTTTTTTTATACATATAACTCGAATTATATTTTACATGAAAACTTTTAATGTAAGGACATTGTGAGTGTTAAGTCCCTTAATTTGTGCAAAATTTTTTAAGATAATCAGTGGTTAACTTTTTCAAAAAAAGGTCATGAAATTAAAAAATCATTTCTCCCCAGCAAACATCTAAAAAAATTTGTTAACTACCTTATGATAACTTTTTTAACGTGGTTGTATTTGCAATAGTTACCTTTAAAGACAGTAAAATTTCCTAACGTTAAGAGATAAATGTAAGAGTGTTGGGTATTTAATTGTCTTATTTTAAATTTGATAAAAATCTATGAAATACTTTAGATCATAAAAATGAAGCTATGAATTTCATTTGATTTCCATATAATTTTTTTTTTTTATTAAAACTTCAGTTTCGAAAATTAAAAGTGAACTAAGAGTGTACGCAGTTTAAATACACTATAAGATTGTAACGTTCAAGACTTCGTTTGATTTTTATAAATTTTTCTTTTATTTTTCACAGCTCGTTCAGTGCACTTAAGCCATTATAAAACGATTCGCTTAAAGCAATCGTTTGCATATCAATTATTACAAAATTCTTGCTAATCACACACTTTGTTACATGTGCCACACTGTAAACTGCATACACTTTATAAGCAAGAATTTTGTATTAATTTATGTTTGATTGCTATTAATTATTTGTCTGATAAAAGTACAGTGTACTAAAAAATTATAAAAATCAAATAAAACTGGTAGTCTTAACTTTACAATCTTGTATAAAAGTTTTAGTTACAGAATACAATAAAAACGCAAAGAGAAGTTAGCAGGAAAGTTAAATAGTTGTAAAAGCTAGTAGTGTTTATGTTAATAATGTATAATCAGTTCGTTCAGACTTGTACTTAACCATGTTTGAGAAGTCTTCAGTGTCCAAGAAAAAGAAAAAAAATCACAAGAAAATTCTCTTTTCGCAACTTTAACGCTGCAATGTTTATAAAGAATCTCACAAATTAGTAGTTATAAATATATAAGGAGCACTCAACCCTAAAACTTTTGACCGAGGTTATTTTTTTTCGTGTTAATAGTAATATTACATAATTTTCTTATTTTCTTGGATATCATACTAAAAAATGGATATTTCTATACTTAAGTACAGCTGCAAACTTTAAAAATTTTTTATCTATTTTTATTCATTCATAAAATTAAGAAAGGGGTTTCTTGAATCAAGCCTAACACTATGTCATATTACGAAGATTGTCATAACACTTTAGATTACGGAGAATCTTACTTAACTACTTTAATCTTTTAGAACTGTTGAATGCTATTTTTGCCTCTTTTTTTACATAAACAAGATGGAGTCCTTTGAAACGTTTTAACAAATAAACAGAAAATATATTTCAATTCTTTTTTTCAAGCTATTTTACAGTATCCTTATTTTTTTCTGTAAAATAAGACATTACGCATTAAATACTAATTGATCTAAAGCTTCAGATATTTATTTTAATACAACAGTGATAACTACCATAAAAAATATTGTCACACAAAACTATAAATTTTATTTTTTTATTTTTGCGTCAGTGTATCTGGAGCAGAATTACTTTTATTAGAAAATGAAAATTAAGTCGAAAATAAAATCAAATACATTCTTTGATAGATTTTAAGTAAAAAACGTCTAAAAAATTTTCAATTAAATGTTTGCAACAAGTCGTTACAGTTAAACCGAAAGAAGAGCCAAGCAAAGTCAAAGTCGAAGAAGAGCAAAAAAATGCAAAGAAAAAAATTATCCAAATTGAGCGCAGGTACACAGTAAATATTCTTTGTCAATAAGCCCTGCGATGATAAACCCACCCAGCTCGTCGTATAACTTTAACTCGGGCTTAACTTCCACATATCCAAGAACAACAACCGCATTCTCATGCTCTGTCTCAGGTTCGACTCCTTGGCACCCATCTATAAGTCCTGCGACGTTAAATTCAATCAGCTCATCGTACAACTCCAACTTGGCCTTGACTGCTACATCTCTAAGACAAGCGATCGTATCTTCAGGCTTTGTCACAGTTTTAGCTAGCTCCCCCTCGTCAGTGTGTTCTGCAACATCGAGTGCAATGGACTCACCAGTCTAGTTGACTTCATCAACAGTCACAGATCCAATCAACTTATCAACAAATACACATCTTGATACAAGTCTAATAAATTATTTAATGCATGCAATAGGTGCTGCATACAATTAACTTATTACATTTTATTACTTATCTTTTTCAGTCATAACTTTTAACAGTTCGGAAATATCTCCACATTTTCAATCGGTTTAGCCAGTGCCATCATCTCATAAAAAAAAAGAGAAAGTCATAAAGTTGTTGTAACACTAGTTGACGATATATTAGAATTCTTACAAACCAAAGAGATAAAAAAAAATTGAAAAAACATTAAGTTCAACTAAACAAAGAAGAAATCGAAAAAATAAAAGAATTCGTAAAAAAGAGAGCAGTGTGACAAAAAATTTTAAATTAAAAAATTTTCTTGCTCGAAAAAAAACTATTATTCAGAGAAATAAAGAAATTAACAAGTATCTAAAAAGTATATTAGATCAAGAAAATAAAATAAGACCGCTTAAAGAATTTGACTTTTTGGAGAAGGAACGTAAAAAAATTGAACTGACCATTAAAAATTTAGAATTAAATCAAAAGCAATATTATTTTAAAAAAAAGCAAGAAATATTATAGATTTATAAATATTGACGAAAGTAAAGAGTACTTATTGAACTAACAATTGCATAACTTACTTATTTTCATTCTATTACTTTTAATTTTATCTATTTTATTTTATCAGAGCTCTAAATTAGTTTCATGAAAATGAGAATATTACTATTGTCTAAGATTGGCTCACTTCTGGTCCTCCAATGGTTCACTACACCTGCCACTAAAACACCATAGGTCCACTAGTAGATCAATCTTATCGCTATTTGAAACTAAGATTTTGACGTAAAATAAATAGTTACTATCAATCTGATTGTATTTTATTTTATCAATAAACAAGTAAACTACACGAAACAATTAAATTATGCATCATATTATAAAAATCAGACCGTAAAATAATTGATCTGCTACTTTAGTTCTTAAAAGCGGTCTAAAGTTGAGGCTTTTACCTCGTACCTTAAGTTATTTTTTAATGCTATTACGTGTGAAAAATTTTAAACTGACATTATGATACACCCAAAAAAAATATTGCTAGTATATTAAAAGATAGGCATAAGAATTAATGAATGTAAGCAACTGCGGATAACTATAAACAATAAGTAATTACCTGTTAAGAGCTTCGACTTTTACAATTTGAGGATCTACATCGCTTTTGAAGTTTGTTAACTCAGTGATTTGCCTTTTAACATCATCAATATCGCTACCAAGTAGACCTAGATTTGTAAAACGTTCCTCGGCATCTGTTAAAAAGTCTGTGAGCTCAGATAACGTACCATGAAATTCCATGGCTTTTTCCATTGCATCAATTAAATTTTCTTCACGTCTAACGTACAAAGCAGTTACACTGTCCCATACCTGATCCAAATCTTCTATGTGCTTACGAACCTCAGGTTTATCTGGCTCTCCACACAGACTCATTAGCTCTTGTCCAGACTGACGTACTTGTTCGACTTCAGGTTTTGCTTGATCCATCTCTTGTCGTAATTCATGTAGTACCATTTGTTGCTGTTCAATTGCAACTGGCTGAGCAGCAGGAGGAGCTTGGGCAGAAAGGGTATCCTGCATTTCAGTGAGCACTCCAATAACACTACTAAGTTCAGACCAAAATCGTTCAGCTACAGTAAGGGCCTCATCAAGACTATGTGTGCGATCACGTGTTGCAGACTGCAGCTCTGTCCAAAGTCTATCAAGACGTTCAAGTTTTCGGCTAATATCCATAGCCGCAGGATCTGAGCGGTTTGCAGCTTTACTCATGACATCAGCTGCTGCACGACGCACTGTAGACAATACTTCAGCACGCTGGGCAAGTTCTTCAACCAAAACAGCATTTTCTTCTATTTGATCACGTAGACGAACTGGATGAGCACTAACAGGCTCCGAATCTTGTAATTGCTCAGCTGTATCCGCAAGAGCACGTAGCATTCCTTCTAGCTTATCCGAAAATTCCGAAGATTCTTGAAGAGCTTGCTCAAGAAGTTGTTGGCGAGAGCGTAATTCAGTCCGCAGAGCAAAATATCGAGCAGTTACAGCTTCTAAAAGTTCTTGGATTTTTGCTGCCTCCTCAGCATTGCAAAGACGTGCCAGAGCCTCACCAGTCTTTGTGAGCTTGTCAATTAGTGGTCGGTGTTCCGCAATACTTTGCAGAAGCATAGCGTTGCGGTCCTGTTGAAGAGAAATAAGTTCAGGTCGAAGAGCAGGCATGGGTAATGTAGTAACTTGCTGCTCAGTCTCATCAAGCCACGTACACAAGCTAACATGGCTATCACGTAGATGTTCAGCAAGGGGAAAAGCCTGCTCAAGAGCAGTAAGCCGCTCAGCTGAAAGTGTTGCTACAGTCTCAGCCATTTCACGCAATTCTTCAACACGTCCACGTAGCATGATAACTTCGTCAGCTGGCTGAGAGCCGTGTTCACGCATCAATCGACGAGCGTTCAATATTAAGTCTCTTAATCTAGCACGTTGTCCAGATATGTCCTCGTTTAAAGCACGATGTTCCCGCAATTGAACCCGCACAACCTCTGGCTCGCTAGTAGGAGGTTCAGCCTCACGTAACTGCGAGTCTGCTTCACGAAACCACTCAAGTGACTCATCAATATCACAAATAAGCTCTAGAGATCGCTGTTTACCAAGCTGAATTCGCTCAGCTCGTCGCTGAATTTGTTCCGTAACGGTATCAAAACGCCGGTTGTCACGACTTACTAAAGCTTCTAGCCCTACTACGTTACTTTCTACCCCAGCAGTTCCAGTATTTTTCATTACTTTACTGCCAATACTAATACTACTGATCCCCCCACTTGTAGTTTTTCCCAACTGCCCAGCAAATATATTTATGCGCTCTAGTAAACCCCGTTGCTCCATGAGCTCAAGTTCAAGTTTTAAGACTTCCTCTTCGCGCACTTCAGCAGAATGAAGTGTAGTTTCAGCATCTTGCATCCAATCAAGCAGATGTGTTCGATTTTCTTGAAATTGACATGCAATTGGTAGGATTTCTTGAGCACGTTTTAACAAGTCACTACCACGAATGGCTAAATCTGACTGCCGGCGCTGTAAACAATCAAGTTTCTCTTTAAGCTGTAAGGCTTCATCTGCTGAAATATGGCAAATAAGCTCAAGACCAGATTCGGTAGTGGCGTCAAGATTAATTTGATGATTATTTATTTCATCTGAAATGTGTGTAAGTTCTCTGATTTGTTCCTGTAGCCGCTCAGTTTGCCATGAAAGTACTTGATTTTTGCTGAGCTGACCATCTATTTGCTCCATCCAAGTTTGAATATCTTGATAGCTGAGGACAAGATGACGCAACGTTTTTCGAGATTGCTCAAGTAATTGATTTAATGCTTGTGAATGTACAACAAGTGTAGTATATCGGTCCACTACTTCTTGTAACATGTTGGCGAGAGCTGTAGCTTCTTCTTCACCAATAAAGGTCATGAGATTACCTGCTAACTCCGTCAATTTACTAAATTCGGACTTATAAGTGATGATTTCTTCATGTAATTTTTCATGCTCTGTTAAGCAATGTTGTATTTTTTCTTCATCAGTTGGTATCAACTTCATATCACGGATCTTGCGCTCAGCGTACTCCAACCAACTTACCAAAGGGCTGAGCTTATTTTCGAATTCACAAGCAGCTTTCATAGCATATTCAAGACCTTGTAAGCGTTCAACTGCAGCAGAGTTAAGCAACTCATACCGACTCATCAAATTAGTGAGCTGCTTTTCAATAACCATTCGTTCTTTAAGCTCTGCATCTTGAGCTACTTCTTGACTCATTTTGTAAAGTGATGACATAGAGTTTTGTCGGTCGTTAAGCATCTTGCTCAAGAATTTTTGCTCTTGTAGCTGCGCTTTTACAACCTTGTAATCGGAAGAAGGAGGCTTTTGATTAGCTACCATTTCTTCAGTATCAGACAACCATTTTTCTAATCCATCAAGAGCTTCTTGAAATTTTCCTGATTGTAGCAACCCAACATCTAGTTTACGATCGCGCTCGTTCAGCTAAAAGCAAGAATATATACAAGCTTTATTCAAAGTACAACTATATTATTCAATATCAAAATATACTAGATATGCATTTTAATAAGTTATCTATAAAAAACTTATGCATAATTAATTGATGCAGAGATGTTATTTTTAATAACTTATACTAGTGTTTTTAACTGTAAGTAACGTTGAAATAACGTTTTAAAAAGCTTACTAAAATATAAAGGAGACACACAATGTGAAAAAAATTTTCAAAATACTTGAGGCAGGTTTAAAACCTAATAACAAAGTTAAGTAAGCTTAAATATGTTAAATATAATGATGCATTAAAAATATTTAAATTTTATATTCGTATTAAGTAACATAAAAAGAAGCTGCGCTAACTGTATCAATTTATGTTGCTACAAAAAAATCATTATGTTGACTTTGAAACGTTACGATACTACTTTAGATGATTAATTTTCACGTAACTGAAGAGTTTTTATTTGTAACATCATTGGTTAAGGTAGATAATGGAATTTTTTTGAGAGGGGTCTTGAAAAATCAAATAAACTTAAGAAGAAATACATACACCAGTGGGGCTATAACTCCTAAGGGTACCGCGCACCAAGCTCTCTTCTTATAAACAGATAACGCTAGCAGAATAATCTCTTGTTCGTAAGTTTTGCATTATTATTTTAATAAGCCTTAAAAACTTACGTATTCATTGTTAAGTAGGCAATAAATATGGTCAACTAAATCTTATCAGATTTAAAAATCGACAACATTTCTCGGGAATACTCGAAAAAAAATGTTATACGAAGGAAGCTGGAAAAAATAACAAAGCTTCTGTTAAAAAATGTAAACTGTTCATTCCAAATAAAGGCTGTTAAGCTCACGCAGAAATACGGACCTGCCCTTAAGTTTTTTTTTTTTTTTTGAGGAACTTTAGTGGCAGGGGACCCCTGTTTGCAATTAGCAGTCAACCGTTTGTATGTCAATGGACATTTCTACACCTTTTTTTGTCAAGTGAGCAGTGTTGATTTATTATACCATTAATGTTTTAACATAAGAGTAGCATTTCTAAGAATTTAATTGCGCTTTATTTAACTTTGGATTAAAACTTTCATTACTAAGCATTGGAAATATAGTGGAGAGTAAAACCAGCTCATTCAACGCAAAAAGTGTCCATCCGGTTCTCAGCAGCAAAAGGAAAGCGTAGAGCAGGACACGGAAGGATGAAAGCCGGAGCATGTTTGAATGTATGTTAGCATCTAGAAACGCTCTACATAGGTAAATGGGTTGTATTTTATAATAATCGGTACGCATGGACTCCACTATACCACAGCCCTCAATATTTCAAAAAAGTAAGAAATACATTAACGTTTTTTTCTTTATTTTTTTTTTTTCCTTATTTATTTAGTGGCTTTATAGTTTAGGCATTTGCGACACGTTTTTTAATTAATGTTTTAGGAAAAAAAGTACGAACGTAAGAACACTTGATAATTAACAAGACACAAAATAAGTTGAACTTTAGTCAATTAACAGAATAGCAAAACCATTTTAGTTAATAATAAAGAAAAATCTGGCATTTCAGTGAAAACTGGAGTATATTTAACTAAATGCTTGGATTGTGGATAACCAGGGCGCACCTTGTCTACACTTATTGATGAACATGTTAAATAAATTTACAATAATAAGGGCTTGACTGGTTCCAGTGAACATTGTAGCTCACATGCACATTTCTCACATTTAAACAATATTAAATTGTTATGTAATGCACCCAAAAGCCTACAGTTAAATTTATTAGAAACAATAGAGATTGTAAAAGCACAGAGACAAAATAATTCATAACTAACGAGCAACTCAATTATCATTTTTCACTGATAATAGATAATGCTTTGAGTAAATGTAATTAATAAGACGTTTCTTAAATTAACATTCTTTATCTTACATTTGCTAGAAGTAATGGCAAATGTGTACTTTACGATTCCTTTTGAGAAGTTAGCTTCAGAAACCGCAGTGTCGACATTATATCATAGCGCGGGAAATTCAAAGTTACGAATGCAAAAATTCAAGTATAAATATGCGGTCAGTAATTTTTGTACCAGTACTTGATAAGGTTTGTTAATTTTTTATACTGCTCTCGAGCAAGCGAAGCAAGCGGAAAAGCTATTATTGTCTACTGTGTAAGAATTAAAAATTTTAATCTCTCTCTTATTAGCAGGTTTAGGGCCTACACAGAAAGACTGCTATAACTCACAGCAAACAGCGCACAGCTCACAATGCAAAACGCATACGAATCGCATGGGCTGCTGTATAGGCTCGTATACTACTGCTCATATTAATCCCTGGCGCTGTCAAGCTTTTAAGTTTTGATTTGCTATTCATTGTTATTTTGTTGTGCTAGCGTTTGTGTTAATAGTCTTTGTATCTGCCAAATCTTACTTTTTTGATTAAATAGATTCTATTACGTGAACTATTTGTTAAAGAGATGACACTGACACCTTTGTAAGCCATTCAAGAGTTTTACAGTCGTAGATTCTTAGCAAAAACTGCAATTTGTTCTCAGTGTAGCAATGAGATGTACTGGGTTGAGAAACCTCACCTGACAGATAAGTACGTACAGAAGTGCTACAAATGAAAAATCTTGAAGTCGTTGTTTAAAAACTCTTGGTTTAACGGTTCAGATTTATCTTTGCACAAAATCGTTCAAATAACGTGTATGTGAGCATATCAGTTTTTTTAACACCATGTAATGAGAGAGCATGAGATTTCTAATAAAACATGCATTGATTGATGTAATCTTTGTAGAGAAATTTATGTTGAAGTTGTCTTTAATTTCAGTGCTGGAGAACAAATTGGAGGTGTCGGAAAAATTTTTGAGATTGACGAATTTAAATTTAGCAAACGAAAGTACAATCGAGGCGAGCACGGTGAAGGACAGTGGGTTTCCGGTGGTATTGAGAGAGGTAGCAGCAAGAGTTTTCTTTTTAGTATTACTGACAAGTCAGGTGATACTCTAGTGTCCCTTATAAAACAATATGTGAAACCTGATACAACAATTGTGAGCAACTACTGAAAAACTTGTGATTGTTCAAGTAAGCAAGGCTATCAGCATCTGACTGTTAATCCCTTAGTAACATTTAAAGACGGAAACACTGAAACTTATACTAATACTGTCAAAGGTGTGTGGACTGCTGTTAAACTGATGTTTCTAACAGCTAATAAAAGTAAGAATCATTTTGATTCTTATTTAGCAGTTTTCATGTAACATCGATTGAGAGCAGCAGTCCTATGTATGTTTAATGAATTTTTAGAAGATGTTGCTACCGTTTACTCACCTACTAATTCTTACGTCCTCAGTGTTCTGGCTTTTGAATATTTTTATAATCAAATTTTTTTAAAACTATAAAAATGATTCAAACATCATTTCACAGGTAGAGTTTCTCTTTATTTAGTTATTTGAATTTAAATTTCCCACGTTAGTAATTTTGAATTTATCGCAGTATGTTATGTTGGACACACTGAGGATTCTAAAGCTAACTTCTTATAGGGAGTCGTAAACTACACTTCTACCGAAATAATTTATAAATATTCACCTTATCAATTTTATATGTATACATTATGAATTATATTGCTTATATATATAATTCACATTTTTCGTGCCTCCCTCCTCACCTCTCTTCTAAAATACTATTTATCTGGTACCATTACTGTTAAAGAAAAAACGTTGAATAAACGTACTTAAAAAGAATAAATAATATGAAAAATGCTACTTATCATCATTCGTAAAATTAATGTTATTTTTAGGTTATTGAAGTTTTGCTACTTTTATAATCCAAGGAAATAGTTAAGTTACAGAAGGGTTGGTGTACAAAGGGAGTAAATACATATTTAACAGGAGATTTATGCAGACAAAAAAATTGCAAGTATCTTTAATATATTGACAATATTTAAATTACGCTGACTTTCTTTTCTAACTTTTTTTTTAAAGAGTTTTATTGGCATGTCAAAAGCTCTACCAGCAGTAGATTTCAGAGTTTGAAGTGGATGGTATCTCTACCTATTCATTGTAGCTTTGTTTCACTGAAGTAAATGCACTCTCAGCCTCTATTGACAATCATACAAATATTTTATACATATATATTTTTTTTTTATCCGTAAAACCCTGCTATACCTCATAAGTAGCGTCACCAGTACTATTGACAAAAAAACTCAATGCTGGACCAATTTGAAAAAACAAGAATTGAAACTACAAGTTAGACTTGAAAAAAAAAGATTAAACAAAGTACAATTAAAACTTTAGAAATACATTTTTAGTCTCAAAAATTTAAAATTTTCAATGCAATCTAAAAACAAGTTATTTCTAAATTTTAGTTTCCATAGCTGCATTTATCTTCCATAAATATAAAAAAAAATTTTGTTGTTATTTTGTTTTGGTGATCAGGTTTAGTACTTTTTTTTTTATTAATCCTAAAATAATACGTTATTTTTACTTGCACTACTTTAACACCCTTATTTTTTTTTTCGTCAATTGTATCAAATTTTACAAAAAAATGTATAACAATATTATTTTGTGTGTAACTTATCAAATAAAAATATTATGTGATAATATCACAATGAGTCAAAAATCAATAAATAAGCTTACGAAAATTTTATCTCGTGGATTTTGCCTGTATTTCTATTTACTACGTTAAGATAAAATCTTATTTTATTCTTTATTAACATATAAACGTAATAACCTAATAATAAATAAAACAGAACTCTGTTTACGAACCCCCACAGCCTCTATACCATTTTTGTGGAATCGTAATAATACCGAACTAACTTCCACGGATCCTGGCATCTCCCCACAGACATACATATTTACATATTATTTTATCTTAAATGTTATTTTATTAACAAACTACAATGGGGCATAATCTTTAAAAATGATATCATATATATGTGTGTATACATACATATGTGAATAAACTCGTTAGTGGACATTATGCACTAGTAACATATTTATCTATATTATGGTAAATAAATCC